AGTTTTTGATGTAGTGTTTTATTTTGGAGAGAGGGAGAGAGAGCGGGGGAGAGGGGCATAGGGAGAGGGGGAGAGAGTCTTTTATTTATTTATTTATTTATTTATTTATTTGACAGAGAGAGAGACACAGCGAGAAAGGAAACACAAGCAGGGGGAGTGAGGGGGAGAGAGTCTTAAGGAGACTCTGGGCTGAGCGCAGAGCCCAACAAAGGGCTTGATCTCACCACCCTGAGATCATGACCTGAGCCCAGGACCTGAGTTGAAACCAAGAATCAGACGTTTAACGGACTGCGCCACCCCGGTACCCCTGTATTTTGTTTTAATTACTGATTATAACTTTCCTGGGTAAAAATGGTACTCTCTTAAATACTTGTAAGTTTCTCTTTGTTATTATTTATTAACTTTTTCTCTAATTTTAAAAGAACATGTTTTATTAGCAGTTCAATTTATAGTAGCGCCTTTATTTTTAGTCATTGCCATCTCCTTCAGCACAAAGTTCAAAGCCTAACCATGTCTTCCTACGTTTGCCCCCCTCCCACACCCACCCTGCTACCTCTCTGATCCCCTGCTCTCCTGTGTTTTCTCCACACTCAGTCCTGTCCACCTAGTGAGTCCTATTTACAAATGTTTGTTTGTTTTTTTCTCTTCAAGCTCCTTCTATCCTTCTACTTGGGCCATTTTCCTATAGAGAATCCCATGGCTCACTCCCTCTCTCCCTTCCAGGCTTTAGCTATATCACAGCTTAACTGAGAGGTCTTCCCACACCTCCTATTCTGTTTATCTCTTATTCGTTCACTTAGCTATCACTACATTCTAAATGTTTAATGTCCCCTAGTATGTGACTGTAAACTCTATGACATAAAGGGTTGTGTCTGTTCTGATAAATGACCATAGTGCTCCTACCACCTAGAACACAACTGAACACATAGGAGATACTCAGGACATAATGTGCTGAATGTAAATATACTAACATTATGAAGGTATGATTTATCAAACTCCCCAATCGATGCCTTCTATAGTGGATTCTAATTTGAGAATCTGTGACTTTTAAAAGGAAATTTGAAATAGTTTTATCTACTATTTTATTTAATATGCAGTTTTATGGATATCCTGCCCCAGGCTCACTTATTCATCTAATGTAGACTACCTAAGCCCATCTTTAGGGGAAAAAATCCTGCTCTTGAACATTCTCTTTGATTTAATTGTGTGTTTACTCTTCATGATAATAATCAGAGACTAATAAGCACGGTTCCTTGTAATCGTTTCCATTTCTTTTGTACTTTCTTCTGTTACAAAATAATGGAGAAGTATAAAATGATAATAAATTTACCTTTGAACATTTATATGCTGTGTCTTTTAGCCTGGGGCTACTTCAAGTAAAGGCTATTTCACTCTTGGTCTGGGTTTCCACTTGAAAATTTTTTACTTGAGATTCTGTCCTTTCATACAGAGACCTCAGTTTTACGCCATTCCCTATTAAGGCCCTTGCTCAGATGGGAGCAGGGTGGAAATCTGCTCTTGAAGGGCTCCTTCTCAAACTGAAGCCCTCATTTTGGGGTCTTTGCCTGCTGAAACAACGGGAGGTACTCAAGGTTTCCCATTTTCAGAAAGAAATACGACCATCTGAGAAAAGATCTATAATATACATTAATCATATTCTAATTTTGTATACTCACTTCTCACATTTCATTAAACAATTTCATGAGAAAATACAGGGTATATTGTCAGATTGATACACAGGCCATTGTTTGGCATTTGGGAGGTTGTAAGGTTAGGTTTACTTTACCTTTATAGGTTCCTCTGTTTCTTAAACCTTTTTAAAAATAAGTATTGAGGTATAAGATATATACAGGAAAGTGTATTTGAGTGTAGACCTTGAAAAATTTTCTCAGAGCAAACGCTCCTATGTAACAAGCACCAGGTCAAAATACGCAATATTTTCGACACCTGAGAAGATTCACTTGTGCATTTTACTGCTTCACTCTTCCAAAATGTAACCACTCTTCTGACTTTTAAACCCATGGAGCAATTTCGCCTGTTTTTTTGAAATTTAATTAAAAGAAATCACCGTAGGTATACTCTTGTGTCTCACTTCTTTTGCTCAAACCTCTTTCAGGAGATTGATCCATCCCATGTATTGTATATAGCTATCATTTGTTTATTTTCATTGCTTTATAATATGCTATCACGTGAATATACTACAGTCATTTCCAGTTTAGGCTACTACAAATTAAGCTGCTATGAACATTTTCTCTCTCTCTCTCTCTCTCCACATACACATATACACACACAACACACACACACATACGTGCACAGAAATGGTAGTTATATGCCTCAGAACAAAAACTGTTGGGTTATAAGAATTATGCAGTTTTGCATTTAGTATATAATACCAAACTATTTTCAATGGTTGTCTGAATTACATTTCCACCAATAGGAGTTCAGGTTATTCCAAATCCTCACCCTCAGCATTATTAGCCCTTCTAATTTCAGCCATTTTTATGAATTTGTATTAGTATCTCATTGCATTTTTAACTTGAATTTCCCTAATTACTGCTAAGGTTGAACACTTTTTTATATTATTCTTCAATATTTGAACAGCCTCTTTTGTGAAGTTCCTGTTCAGATTTTCTGCCCATTTTTTCTATTGGATTTTTTTTGCTCATTCTGCAAAACCTAAAATTTTTAAAAATAAATAAACTATAGAGGAAAATCATAGGACAAATCTGGAATGCTCAATAGTATAAAGGTATCAATTCTCCCCAAACTGATCTATAAATTTAACTCACTGTTGATCACATTCCAAACAGGATTTATTTGGAAATTTAAAAAATGATGGTAAAATAAAGAGAGAAATACAATGGGTCAGTATAACCAAGAAAACACTGAACAAGAAAAAAGTAGGGGAACCTAGCTCACCAGATACCAGGATGTATTATAAAACTGCAGTAATCCACAGGGCATGGTATTTGTGCATGTATAAACAAAGAGAAAATGGAAGTGAATTGAAGTCCAAAAACAGAACATTTGTATCGAGACATTTTTATGACATACCTAGTATTAGAGAGCAATGAGTAACTAACATTCTTTTTAATAAATAGTGTTGTGACAATTAGATTCCAAATGAAAAAAAAGAACCTGAATCTTAACCCATTCCTCATGTCAAACTCAATAATCAATTCCTGGTGAAATATAGATCTAAATTCAAATGGTAGAACAAAGAAGTCTATATAGATGACAACAAAATATAATATCCTAATGGTTTTGGGCAGGCAAATGTTTCTTAAAAAGGACACAAAATTATAAAAGTGAACATTTATAAAAATGAACTGCACCAGAATGAAGAATTTGGTTTATCATTGAGTAAAATGTAATCCAGAGGCAGAAAATACCTTTGCAATGCATAAAACGAAGGATTCATATCCAGAACATACGAACAACTCACAATTTTGATGAAGTTCATTTTTCTCTTTTTGAATCATGCCTTTGGTTTCACATCTAAGAAATATTTGGTTATCTCAAAGTCACAGGGATTTTCTTCTATGGTTTCTCTGTTTTATTGCCAGAATTTCTTTCAGTCTTATATTGAAAACTGTGAAATTAATAATTATAACATATACAGGAAACCCAAAAATTCATAATCAATAACCAGTATGTGAAAAAAACCCTCTTACCAAACAAAATCTATGGCTACATTAATCTACTATTTTAGAGGAGATCCAACAACCTATTGCTTAACATGGTATTTTCTTGGTGGGAAGAGATCAACTACATCAAATCGACTGAAACCAATAATTCTTTGAATACTCTGCTGTCTTCCTGGCTTTCATATTTTGTAATGGAATATGGGGAACTGAAAAAGATTTTTCTTCATGTAAATTCTAATATCTCTAAACAATATTCTTAACTTAAGTGATATTGATCTTTCAAAAGGATCTATCAGACTAATATTGAGGCAAACATTTTATAGACCGTCTTATTCTGTCTGCAATTTGAAATCCTGCCTGAAATTTTGAAAATATACAGTTAATCACTTCAGAAATAATAAAAATGTATAATATTTCTATAAAGCAATTTTCATAGATTAAATATGACAATAACGCTAAATTCATAAAATCAACCAAATGCTGCACAGCCTTCACTATCATTTCCCATGTGATGCCTTCTCTGTACCAGATGAGCTGAACAACATTTGGGGGAGGACACATCATGACTCATTCATCACTGATGATGGTTATTGTAAGAGTATGCAAGCAATTTATTTGAATTTATCCTTGAAAGAGATGTAATGTAATTAGGGAGGTACTAAGCGCCTGGTAAATGTATTGGTCGATTAGAAAGATTGTAGGAAGTTGGTGAGAAATCTCAAAGTCACTCTAATGAGACCAGAACTCCTTTCAACTACATACTTATTTAGGTATAATTGTTGACTTTCTAATACCATACATATATTTTCATCTTGTTCAACTAAATCAAACCTAGCAATAGGAAACAAATTTGCAGTTCTGTGAGTTGAAATAGCGATTGTTCTGTGTAACTTTCATACTTGGATGTGGTGTCTAATAAATGCGGCCTTAATTCAAACAAACTTTATCATCATCATGTCTGAACAAACTTGATACATAAAAAAAATAAGATTCAGCCAACTAAAATCCATCTGTTGTACAGAACACTTCTCTAGGAAACTGAGGGTCACCACAGGACTTAATCTGTCTCCCAAATGTAACTGCATCAAGTAAAATCTGCAAACAACACAGAGTGCCCTATCAGGTCTGACTCATGCCCTTCCCTGCCCTCTGTGACTGCATACATTTGCTTCCTGAATCATGTGATTAGCCACCAGCAGATCCACATGAAACAGAACACATACTCTTAAAGATCACTACTTTGATTTACAAGAGAACTTAAGAAGCTTTCCCTGCTTTGGGGGCCAAAGCCCTCACTCAAATATTAGGCATGCTGTCTCATGGTATCCAGACTCTGTCCAGGTCTCCACTTACATTATTTTTCTGCAGGACACGCAGTGCCTTGTTGACATTGTTCAGGGCGTGGACTCTTGTGGATCCTTTTTCTTTTGGCTGAAAGTAAATTGAAACAATGTTTACTGCCCGGCAGAGAGACAATCTACTAGAAATGAAACCATTTATACATTTCACTTCAAAGTTTGACTATTTTAAATGAACTTAGGCTGTGAGGCATTAATATAATACACTTAAGGGCTTTGGGTTAATTGTCCTTGTCAAAGAACTTTCTTAGCATGAATCAACCCCTCCTCAAGAAAAACGATAGCATTTTCTTTTCCTCAATAAAAGCTATTTTGGTTACCATCTCTTCATTCCACAGCCCATTTGGGGATTTCTGCATGACCAGGAAAGAGAAACAACATTGCATAAAGACTTCTTGGTAAGGGAGATAAGTGAGGTAATTTCCACACATTTAAGGAAAGTATAAAAGAGACTTGAGCCTAGAAAACTTATATAACGCCAAATAGGGCTAAGGGAAAACTTTTCTGTCAACATTACCTTAACCGCTTTCATCACTGAAGCTCAAAACCTCAAGAATCTTTGGTTTTCTAACCCTCACTCTCAATCCCCAAAATCCTATCTCATCCTACAATTTCTAAACTGACATTTGTACAGTGCATGACAATATGCAGATTAACTCATTTATCTAGTTGTGGAATTTTAGAAACTCTACCATTATGATGCCTGCCATATTGACTTCTAAAAAGAGATCTACATCTCAAGAATTTTTTTTTTAAAGACTTTATTTATTTATTTGACAGAGAGAGACACAGCGAGAGAGGGAACACAAGCAGAGGAAGAGGGAGAAGCAGGCTTCCCACCGAGAAGGGAGCCCGATGCGGGGCTCGATCCCAGGACCCTGGGATCATGACCTGAGCCAAAGGCAGATGCTTAACGACCGAGCCACCCAGGTGCCCCTGCATCTCAAGAAATTTTTAAGGGCACAATAAAGTACAGATGGTCCCCAACATGATAGTTTGATTCAGGATTTTTTTACTTTATAATGGCGCAAAAGTGATATGCATTCAGCAAAAACCATACTTCACATTTTGAATTTGGATCTTTTCCCAGGCTAACGATATCCAGTATTCTACTCTGATAATGCTGGGCAGGGTCAGTGAGCCACAGCTACAAGTCAGCCATGTGATCATGAGAGTAAATGACCGATACACTTAACAACCATTCTGTTTTTCACTTTCAGTATACCATTCAATACATTATATGAGATAGTCAACACTTTGTTATAACATAGGCTTCGTGTGAGATGATTTTACCCAACTGTAGGCTAATGTAAGCATTCTGAGCATGTTTAAGGCAGGCTAGGCTAACCTATGAAGTTCAGTAGATTACGTGTATTGAATGCATTTTCAACTTAGGATATTTTCAATCTGTGATGGATTTATAGGGACGTAACCCTATGGTAAGTCAAGGAAGATCTGTATTATTAACTATAGAAACAATGTTGTACAGCAGATCTCTGGAACTTATTCATTGTGCATAACTGAAACTTTATACCTGTTGACCGGCACTTCCCATTTTCCATATTTCAAGTTAAGTGTTCTTGTCATAATAAAAATGTAATTAAACTTAAAAGATCATGATGACTAAAAGCCTTATAAAACATTCAATAACAAAGATACCAAACATTACAAACAAATAATATCTATTAATTAGCATAAATTATGTGACTGAAAAATTTCACCTTCTAGTTCTGTGTATGATAGAATATGCCAAAATAAAAATAAGATTACAAGATTGTTTTATTCAGGAATAGGTCCTGTATTGTTAGTTAAATGAGTAATTATTAAATTAGTGAATTTTACTAAATCTAGAACAACTACACTGAGTTAGTTTCTGGTTTCTTAGTAAATCATCCTAAGGTTAATGTGAACTTTCTTATAAATAAGTCACGTACCAGTTTTTGCCCTGTCAGGCCTTCCAGAAGGTCTAGGAGGCGTCTCCCATCCTGTAGGTCACTGAAGAGGTTCTCTACGTGCTGCTTCCCAAACTGAAATATGAAATATACCCAATCAAACAAAGCACTCTTCCAGTGATCCATTTCCATGACTATGCCTTTTAAAATTTAAAGTTATGTTTAAGAATATTTAATGTATCTAATTCTTCATCTGCCAAGGATGAAGGATGAAAAGAGAACCTCCAAGTAAAAAACAAAAAACGATATATCATCATTAGGTCAAATCTATTTAAAATTTTTTTAATAACATGAGTTAGATATCTGTAGCCTAATTGGTCTAATTAACTCAACTTTTTGAATGCTGACTCTATGAAGGAGAGAGAAGTACACATACAAAGAAACAAAGTCCACATACAATTTGTCCTGGGTAGGTGCTTACAATTTAACTGTTTCATGTACTTGGCTCTATAACATAATCATAGAAGACCCACCATCCTGCACCCCTAGAGCATGCTTTCTCTGAATATACAGTTTGAATACTGCCTCAAAATGATCCATTTTCATATTGCTTGGCTCAGATGTTAGAAAGATCTGATTTTAATTGAGTTGAAATACACCTGTGACATATCTGTGTCTATTTTTCTCAGTTCTTTACTTGGGAATTGTACTCAGAAAGAATAATAACCGCTCATAGCATCTCGTATTTTGGTAGCAACTACTCATGAGAAACACTTCACTAAATGAGTGGATCTTATCTTTGTAATATAGCTGTGGGTTAGTATTCATATACTCATCTTACAGATGAGAAAAAGAAGTTGAACATGCGGCTCTTTGTCATGAAACTAGAAGATGGTGAAGCCCAAATGCTGTCCCAGAACTGTCTAACACTGGTGGGGGGGCTGGTTTTTCCTAGCTTATCATGCTGCTTCCAGGGCTTTTTCCTCCTCCCATCTGATTATCTTTCAGATATTTTATTTCTTCTGTCATGCCCTCAAATATTTTCTTTTTCTGGTTGAAAGCCTACAGTCCCTTCATATAAAATCATTCACAACTCTTTCATCGCCCAGGTTCTCTGGAAAGTCCTCATTTATCAGGGACAGATGTTTATTGAGCACCAATCAACCTGAGCTAGGTGCTGGAGCATACACTAGTAAATCACACAGACATGCCCCCAGCCCTTGTGGGTCTTTGAGTCCAGCATGGAAAGCAAATATTCCCAAAAGGCAATACTACACAGAAGCAGTAACAGGGACCCAGGAGCATATAACTTTGGGAACTCCCATAGTATGGGGACCAGGAAAGACTGTCCCCAAAATGTCAGATGATGGGACTAACATTAGTTTTCAGGTGCTTGGGTTAGTCTCATGCATTCCTCGATCACATGAAAACTTTGCATTTCAGCCAGGTCAAGAAAAATAAAGAAGAGCCTTGGTTACCAGGCAAAGGGCATCCCTGAAGCTTCCAAGATTAAAGACCGGATTCAGGCTCTCCCTACAACCACACAGCCATGTCCATAACAAGTCCTGTCAATGCCTAGGTGTTTCACCTAATGAAACCCAGACCCCTGAAAAAAGGCCACCAGTCCTTTGAAAATCAAGCCACATATATGCTTTGACAAAGATAACTACAAGTTATTCTTCTGAAATTCGACTCTAATAGCTCTGCTTAAAAGTTCTAGGGGAAAAAGAAGACAACACAAAATACGAATATGTAAAAACACTTTACTACACATTATGTACAGTAAACCTCAAAACAACATGCCATTTTTTAATGAAACTTTAAGGAAAGCTTTCTACTAATAAGAAAATGAATGCATGCTTTATAATTCTCTCAAGAACCTCATATATAACATGGAATCACTTGGCATTTGGAGGGTTGATATTAAGGCTTTACTTTCAAATTGGATGAAAGTCTACAATGCCTTAAAAATGCTGTTCTCTTTTGTTTTGTTTTGTTTCATCCAGGAGCAAAATTTTACAGATGTATTTGAGAAGCAAGTGGCCTTTAAATTTATTGACAAAAAGAATATTACACACTGAAATGTGTCAAGTTTTGAAGAAAATATAGTTAGCTGACAGAGATACTTGTTCTTGTTAAAAATATATATCTGGATGGATACATACATACACACATACTTACATACATACATAACAAAGTCTGTCAAACCAGGAAGGATGTGGGTAGCAAAATGTTCATTCAAGAAGAGCAGGGGTAGAGAAAGAAATGAGTATTGGGGCATAGAGTAAAGCATGAACCTCAAGGCCATAGGGATCATCTAGCATCCAAGACACAAGGACTATAAAGCTTATGCTTTGGGGCAAGAAGTCTAGACAGTGGTCAACAAGGGAAACAGGATCTTGCTTTGATCCAAACTCATATACACAAGCCAACATATTTTATAATTCTTTCTTTTAAAATGGAATCAAACAAAACGGAGAGAGAGTGAAGGACTGTAGGCTAATCAGAGTCCTCCAGGCGCATCTAGTTGGGACACTTAGAAAGCAAGGAGGGAACAGAGAAAAAGTTCCTGCTATCATACATGACTCTCATAACTCATAAAATCAAATACAATTTCTATTTGTTATATTCACATTCTCTAATAGTGTGCTTCTCAGAATGTTCCATCAAAGCATCCTTCTAGCAGATGAGATTGAATGAATTTACCACAGGTCTGGCAGTATAAATTAGGCAGTGGCAGCAGTTCAAAATGTCTATGAACACATAGGTTTTATTTTTTTTTGTAATTTTTAAAAATTAACATAGAGTGTATTGTTAGTTTCAGAGGTAGAGTTCAGTGATTCATCAGTCTTATATAACACCCAGTGCTCATTACACCATGATCCCTCCTTAATGCCCATTACCCAGTTACTCCATCCCCCTACCCTCTTCCCCTCCTGCAACCCACAGTTTATGCATATGTTTTATGTTACGAATTCATGGAAATGTTGCCTTCGTCTCTTAATGAATGTTTGTTTTAAAAGCATTTTCAAGCCCTCATGAGTGAAATTTCCCCTCCTAGGTCCAATTAAAGTCATGCTCAATGAAATGTACACTATTTAGCCTATAACTTCATGGATCTTCAGGTGCTGTCTTATTCTTCCTGTGGTATGGAGACCCCAGGGAAAGCAAAACATCTCATTTCTCTTGGATGGTTTTCATTTCTTTCCCAGATTCAAATCCTCATTCCATAACATTATAGCTATGATATAAGAAAAGTAGCACACCTTTGAGAGGTAGAAATAGCTGACTTTTATTTTATTTTACTTGGGTATTATTTAAATTTAAATTCAATTAACATATAATATATATACATATATATATATATTTGTATATACATATATTATTTGTTTCAGGGGTACAGGTCTGTGATTCATCAGTCTTATATAATACCCAGGGCTCATTACAACACATACCCTGACTTTTAAACTGGAGTCTTTTATTCACTAGCTGCACTGTCTCAGGCAGGTGACTTAACCTTTCCATGGCACAATATACTCTAGTAAAATGGGGATTGAAATAATACCACTTCAGAGCACTCCTCTGAGGTTTAAATGAAACAGTGTAGGTGTGCTGACAGACTGGCAAGTAGTAGGCTCTCAATAAATACAGGATTTTTTTTTTTAATTCTATTACTCTTTGACTTCTCTTTCTCTGGCCAAATTCTAGATATAAATACAATTATGGATCATTACTGAATCTACTAGAAAGTGCAGAGCTCACATACAGTGTGTTCTGTTTTTTCTTAGTTTGGTATCCCTGTAAGAGCAAAAGTCAAAGGGGGAAGATGTCATTCCATATTCAATTACTCACATACTGGTAAACGTGATGGCAGTCAGAGGCTTCAAGCCCTTTCTCTTTTTTCTTATTCTTTGGGTTACTTTCCATTAAGTCCTCTTTTGTTTACATCACTTTTCATCTTCTAACGTACCATGCCTTTTTGTTGCAAGTGACATTTATGTCATGAAAACAGTAATTTTTTTTAATTCCCTATCTTTAGTGGCTTTCTTTTCAAGTATATGAAAATTATTTTGTGAAACACACAAAACATTAAGCCCTTTTTGGGCCACATGACCTTGTGGCTCTCCATCTCCAGTCCCTTTCATGACTAATATTTTCTTTAAAAAGTGAACTTTTGATATTACTCAGCAGTTTACTGCCTTCACTTACATATAGTCTTCTTCCTTGCTAACTTAAATAACAAGATGAAAGGACCATAAAATGAGATAATGATGCTTCCTGATCATTGTCCATATGACATAAAGAAATACAGAACTACAGACAAGGTTCAAAAGAAAAAAAAATCAGATAGGTTGATTGGTAAGTGGGGGAAACAAAGTGAAAAAAATTCAAAGTGAGAATAAATTAAAAGGGACAGAAATGCATTTGTGAAAACATTTAAATAACTTCTGACTCTTCAGAGTTGTATCAGTCTCTTAACCTGAAAATGCACAGGGATCAATACAATATTCCAATAAGGGGTAAAGAGCACAGGAATTATTTAGCATGACCTTCTGGTTATAGAAAGGTCAGCCTCTGGACAATTCTGCTGCTCAGAAAGTCAAGACATTTCTCTGATTACAAATCTTTAGATACTAGAAACACCAAGAAGCACTGGAAATACCAAAAATAATTCAAAACATATTGGTGGATGCTGCTGACCAGCTCCCAGAAAATTATTGCAACACTTTATAGTATAAATTGGCAGTTTTCAAAGAGGACTGTTTTATTAAGTATGGATTATAAAAATTATTTTATAAGAGAATTTTATCGAGGTATAATATACATATAGGAAAGTACACATATCTTAAGAGTTAGCTCAAATAGTTTTTTACAAACTGAACACATTCATATTATCACCACCTAGATGGAGAAATAAAATATGACCAGCATCCTAGGAGCTTCCTCACACCCCTTCTGTGTATTAGCCCCTTCAATAATGATCACTATATTAACTTTTAGGACCAGAGATTAATTTTGCATTGAAAGGAGTCTCTTAAAAACAGAAAAATAATGTTGGTTTAGTGTTTCATTTTAAGAAATTATTGATTGAAAGACATCAGGGTAAGGCAGAGGGAATTTGGAAAGGAAAAAAA